ACATGTGAATGTCTATGAATATACATTCTATAGACATTAAATGCTACTAGGGCAGGAATTTTTCAAAATTGGTCAACCGAATTATTCAAATGAGCCAAACCTTCTAATACCAGTGAAAACTCCAGTTTATTGACGTCAAGAAAAATTACAACTGAGACGCAAGTTTTCATTTGAAATAGCTGGATAACTGAGGAAGTGTAATTTATTTTCAGAATAAGAAGATACGCGGCTGTTGAAAATAGAAGCCATTATACTATTATATACAAATCAAGTTGAACAGACAAAAAATGTTACGGAGTCAAACCAATCAAGGTGTAATATAGTAGTGACGTCATGATAAACTTAAATAGAAAGATAAATAATACGCCCACAGGCTAAGCAGATAGTTACCTTTGGAGGTGTGTTTGAATGGGTGACCGGTCTTGTATGCTAAACCGGCCTTAAATTTTTCAGCCTGTTCTCTACTCCTTTTGTAGCTCTGAGATTCTATATATTCTTTGCTGACACCACCACCATATGAAGGTGTTTCAACTCGAGGTTCACGGTAATTTCTAAAAAGATGTAAAGCACAAAAGATATATTTACCTATTCTTGTACGCAGAGGTATGTATAACAGTGCTGCCAGAATTTCGCGGACTCTGGTTTGAAGCTTCTGCTCTTTTTCTTTCAGCCAATTTATCTAGGCCGAACAAGGAACTCTGTGGTTTCTTAAATGCGTCGGTCGGCGTGGTGGGAGTTATGAGACCTCCAATTTCGTTCTTGTTAGACCCCTCTAAACGGTCGACGGATGCAAAGGAATCCATAGTTCAAAAAGAGACTAAAAACGAATGTAACATCAGGTTTGTAGTATGATCCGTGTGCAAAACAAAGCTCCAAAGCCCCCAAGTGTAATGTACCAAAATCTAATGGTGAATAAATGGGCTATTGAACATACCAGTAAAATTTGCACAAATTTAAAGATTCCAAATTTCCATAAGTCATAGATTTGGAAGGATATTACAGATTACGAATTAACTTTTTTCTGAAAAAAATTGTATGTGCAGCCATGTTTAACAGATAGGCAGCCTTCTGGCAACTAAAAATTGAACTTAACAGAATGCATAAAATGTCGATAATATGTCGCAATTCAAATATTTCCACAATACCAAAACACATAGGATCATACTGAGAAATATAACCCTTAACATACCGCAGAATTTGAGATTTCACTACGAAAAACAAGATAGAATTCAAAACTACTCTACGGCTACCTCCGCAGAAGTATAAGGAATAGAAATCAGATAGGCAGCAACGGGCTTTGGCGCCAAAGGTGGTGTGATGAGAGCAGGTGGCGCCTGAGGTACGATGAGTGGATGAAGTTGGTGGGACAACCTGGGTAAATTAACTGGGTGGGTGCCAAGATGAAGAGGCTGCTGGCTGATGAGGAAAAAACCCATGCTGTACAAGCAGCTGCATGACAATGCAGGGTATGTCCATTTAGGTAAGTTGTGTGGCAATAACATAGTCACAGGCGGGTACCAAAAAGGCCGTCTATGATTAATTCCTGACTTTATTGTCCATTTGAAAGAAGATTAGCGTAGGCTTGTAGTCACGATAGTCAAAATTGTAAAAACTGTGGGCAAGCAGGATTAGTGAGGCCAATCATTTTTACAACTAAAAAACTACTTCCTACTTTTCAGTAGGCATACTATTTTT